TCTGAACTCCCATAAGCACATTGGCTATAGAACATTTATTGTAATGCTTTGGGCATAGGCCTTTAAGCAGTAGTGAACACATACTTGCTCAGGTTAACTCCTGCTTTTTATGCAAGAGCAGCCATGAAGTAATAACTTCCACAGAACCTAAAAGCTGAGTTCTTCATAGAGAAAGTCTGTGATAACCCCAAAAAAATTTCTGAAAGAAATTTTTGATGCAGTATTCAATTTGAAATGTTACATAAGTAATGATGCCAGCCAGTGCAGCCACTTGTTCTTGGGAAGTCACAGCCCTATACTTCAAAAGCTGAGAGCAATAAATGAGCCTTGCTTAGTTCACAGGAGCTTTACTCTCACAGCCTTCTGACATTATTCACTTTAAAATAAAAACTAGGTTCCTAATCTACATATTACCAGTCATACAAAAATTCAAATAAAACCACTGAACACTCTAGAAAACAGTATTAATCTTACACAGATCAAATCAAGAATGGGTTGCAAGAGCAGCAAATAATGCTCTCTATATTTCTGTAAGGAATTATCCTGAACACACCCTGAAGAGGTTGTCTTCAAGGCATTTCAGGGAGAACTTAGAGGATATACCAACTAAAATAAAATTGTTTACTCTTAATTCACCTCACCAGCCTCATAATTTTGTTACATTGGTTCTCCTTCACACTGCAAAGGCACCCAAAAACAGGAGAAAGGCATTAACACCTTGGTGTTACAATAACATGGGGTGCCTTTAAACACATTAAGAAAGTGGAAAAAAGTTTTATTAGATACTGGAGGACTATTATCATTTTATTACCTACTGAAACTCTACCATTCTGAGTAATCTGAGTTGTCATCCTCTTGGAAGTATTATTTTGCCTTCTGAAGTATCTCAAAAGATCACTGGTGACCTTGAATCTGCAATCGTTCACCTGGATCAGACACTTTGCAGGAATGAAGCTGAAGCAAAACTTTTCACTTCCTTTTTACCTTCTCAGTTCCACTATCAAAAACATTGGGATTTTTTTATTAACTATGCAAACATTATACTACATCTGTAAGATGAAGTAAGTGACAGAGATTGGTGACAGAAGTTAAGGCCTACCAAATTAGTTTGCACATTCACAGAAGGAAAACCAACCTTCCCACCCACCTATCACCATTCTGGAGGATGGTGTTCATTAGTCTCTCCAGCATAAACTACCAAAGAGATCAACATATACAATGCAAATATTCTGCAACTTCTTTTGGGATGAGGTATCTACTGTTTCGCTTTATGTCTGTTTTCTACAGCATCAACACAAATGTTTTATAGAAGGAGGTCTTCAATCCATGTAACATAAATTGCAGAATTAAATATCAGACTTTTTTGTCAATATTTTACAATTACTTTTAAGATGACAGTACTAATAGCAAAGCTGCAAATTCTGAATCTAATGTGGAGATTTCAAAGCATTCCCTATGTTTTTTTTTATCTCCCTGAACAGATTAGGATTTTGTGAAAGGTTTTCAACTGGTCAAAAAGCAGAAACAAAACTTCCTGGGAAAACAACCACCTGATAATTTATTGTTTTGAGAATGTAAAACTATTTTGACCCTCACTTCCAAAATAAGTTATTTTTAAAAGAGTTGTTCCAATATAGAACTACCCCTAATGAAATTATTGTTAATAGTAATGCTTGGTATACACTCCAAGGACTGTGGACTTCAGAGAAAGATGAATTTGAGTCAGCTTCTTCCTCACTCTGCAAACTTGTACAGGTAAGAGGCATTCAACAATGAAATATTATGGTAAAATACAGTAACTGTAACTACCTAGAGGACAAGTGGAATTAGAACAGATGCTGGACCAACTAAACCGAACAAAAAGCAGTTATGCGGTTATACACACAAGTGCACAAACTATTTGTAACATGTCTGAAAGGGAAGGACCTTTGAAGTTCAATGTTCTGAAGTAAAAGGTGAGGAAAGGTATCTTTCTTTCTGAAAGCAGTACTGACACTGTATGAGTGTTCCTATGGTCCAGCAGCAGAAAGGAAAACTCCATTTATCAGGAGATGCTGTCTAACTTCAAAGGGACACAGACAGACAAAATTTACACATCATTACTTCTTACAATTATATTAACATTGGTGCTTACCAGGAATACTCAAGATGTTACAGCACTCCAAAATGTGTATTTTTTTTTTAAGCTTATTTCTTTTTTTTCAGCTTGTAACCTAAGTTACAAATGAAGCTGAAACAACTCTGTACCAACTCACCAGTATTACAGCACCTCTCCTGAGGTTCAATACCTTGTGTTCAGTTGTGTAACATTTGGATACTACAACGATAATCTGAAGCAACATCTAACACTATTATTAACATACCAACTTCCAATGCTTCACACTGAATCTTAGAATGAGCCACATCTAGCTTTACTTTCAGTTCCCAAACTGTGTTAACTAAATCTTTGTACTGCTGTTTTCCACCAAAGCAACCTTGGCAACTGAAATGGAAACCAGCCTTTAGAGCAGACACAGCCTCAGCACACAGCTGAAAAGCTCTATCTTGATATTCCTGTTAGCCTCTATATCACATGTACATCAGCAAAGGTGGTTAAGCAGACTGACCAGACCTCATGTAATTAGACGACTCCTCTACTTTACATGATGACTTATTTCAATGTACACGGTAATCTTGTTACAGCAATCCTTACTACTTCCACATTCTTCTGGACAGATTTGGGGGATGAGAAAAAGCCACAACAAACATATAACAAGTTCATAAAAAAATAAGAGTAGAATAAAACAAAGGGATACTTTGTACAAACTACAAAGCTTAAAACAATCTGCAAAAGACAGAAAGAATCATCTGTTATACCTGCTACTAGAAGCCCCTAAAAGGTGCATTGCTGACATTAATTCTGATTTCCTTACAAATATGCACACCTTTACTTTGCTACATAGAATTGCAAACTTATTCACACACAGCTACTGAAACAGAATTTACTTTTGTGATAGCACTTTGGAGGTAGAGATACTACAACACGTGACTTGGAGCTAATCTATCACAAGCTTAATTTGGATTTATGGTTTCCTTTCAATTATTCTGTTCGGAAGCTTAACCCGGCCGTTTCACGCACACACACACAAAAAAAAAAAAAAAAAAAAAAAAAAAAAAAAAAAAAAAAAAAGCAGGAATTTGTGGTCAGCATTTTTTATTATAAAACAGCTCTGTAGCTCGGTTAAGACACACCTCTGTATCTGTGAATGCTTTAAAAGCTGGCACACCCCAGAGCACATGTGTGCAAGCAGATACTGCCCAACATTTTGAGGCAGAGCCAGAATACCGTGATCACTTTTCTCCATGAAAGCCTGTTTTATTTTGGTTACTTTACAACCAAGGGCTCTAAAACGCAAAAAACGGTTTCTCGCCAGTTTTTGGGACTCAATATCGTAACTTCCTATTCCCTAGCAGTTTAATCACCCTAGGAAAGACTGGCCAACAACACGAAGGTGTCGAACTCAGGAGGAAGCCCGAGACGCCCCAGGCAGAGCCCCTGCGGCCCGAGGGAGGGAGGGGGCACGGGGCTCACCCCCGGCCAGGACCAAAGCCCGGCGCCACAGCATGCAGGCACCCCGGGCCCCAGCGGGGCGGCCGCAGCGAGGTGCAAAAGGAGACGGAAAGCGGGCACCCCTCCTCCTCCCCCACACGAGGCCACACGGAGAGCCGGGAGCGCCGGGTCGCCGCTGTCGGCCCTAACTCCCCCCAGTTTTCCAGCTCCCACCGACCTGGAGACGGCCATGGCCGCCTGGAGCCGGGCCGGGCTGACGGCGGGCGGCGGGACGGGGGGGCCGGGGCACTGCCCGGGCCGAGGGCGCTGGGCCTCGCTCGGGCCTGGGGCGCCGCACCCGGCCTCGGCCCCGCCGGCGATCCGCGGGCAGCGGCTGAGCGCGGCAGAGCCCGGCGGCGGTCGGAGTGTCGCTCCCCCGGGCGGGGCGGCGGCGGCGTGGGCAAGAGCGGCGAAAGACCCTCGGAGCGCGGGTTAAAGCTTCGATTCCCCCATCACCGGGGCGAAGCCCAATGCCTGGTTTTATATGAGCAGCCATCTTGTATTTATTCCCTTCCTCCATGAGAGCCGCTTCCTGATTGGCAAGAGCGTCCTGCCGCAGCCAATGGCGGGAGCGCTTCTAAGAGCAAGGAGGGCGGGAGCGCGCAGCGCCCGCACTGAGCAGGATCGGCCATGGAGCCCGCCGGGCCGGCTTGTGGTGGGGGGGCGGGGGTGCCGGCCTCTGCCGGGGCGTTCCATCTGCACGGCGATTGTGGGGGGGAAGAACACAAAAGAGAGAGTTCCATTCCTGAACCCTGAGAGGAGAAAAGGACACGAGAACGCGGAGTAAACGCTTTTCCTTCCATGTCTACTGGGTGGTAACCCTTCTGCCTCGCCAACACGGCGGGACAGGGCGGTCGGTAGTCGCTGAACCAACGCCGCACCCCGCTCTTGCCGAGGTCCGCTGTCCATCGGCCATGCCCGGTGCTGCGGCGCGAAGTCTCTGCCGGTGGGACTACAACTCCCGGCATGCCTCGCGCTTGGCCGGGCTCGGCCGCGGGCCCCGCCGTCCTTGCGGGCGGGCGCCGCTCCGGAGCCCCGCAGTGAGGGGCGGCTGTCACACAGCGGGCTGGCACTGCAGAGGGCTTGTGGCACACGAGCGTGGGAACACCCAAGGGTTTGTAAGCGTCGCCAGCCACGCCGGGCAGCGACGGGGCGGCTGGTCCGGCCCGGTCACGGCTTCTCTGTGAGGGGCCACGTTGTTTCCCGCTCTGAGCCGTCGCTCCGGCTGGGGCAGCGGCCCGTCCTCCCGGCCCGGCGATGCTGAAAGAGCCCTGGAACCCATCCCGGCAGTGCCCCTTGTCGCGGGCAGGCACACCAGGCTCCCAAGTGCTCGCTATCAGCTTCCATCAGATCCAGATTAAGAAATTAGCCTTCGACTAATCATTTAAATTAATGGTCCCAGACTGGTACATAAAGTTAGCTGACGTAGGTAACCTTTCATGTGATAAGTTGGAAACAAAATAATGGATTTTTTTTTTCCTGTGATGGCATAGACTTGGATAAACATGAATTTGCATAGTGCTGTATGATAAAGTTTTCCTCTGAAGCCCATTGTGGTGTGAGTGCTTCACACCCAACCCTTCTAAAGGGATTTCTGCTCGCCCCAGCCTTTCTGGTTGGTCTCCCTCTCCTCGGAGAGTTAACTCTTCATGTATGGCTCACTCATTCTGTCTGCACGAGCACATATTCTAAACAAACATCCTAATGCTCTCTGCATTATCACTGGCTTTTGACAGTTCTCTGAAGACACTGGGATAATGCTTCAATCTATCCTTACCCATGCAGGTCCAGCCTATACTTCAGCCTTTCCTAAACTATGCCAGGCATGCTGCTTTCCTGCCTGTCCCTCCTGTCCTTTGGTGGGAGCACTGTGGCAACTGAAAACTGGCATTGGAGTGGCCCCAAACAGTGGCAGTGAGAGTCAGCCTGAGGCCTCTGAGCACGGAGTGTGGCCAGAGCAAACTACAGACCTGTTTTTCAGTGGTGGACGTGGGTTTTGTCACAGTGACAACAGTTCAATGACCCAGATAATGCCTTTTGCCTGTCATGGCTCTGATGCAGTAGCTACCTTTAAACAGCTCAGTATACCTTCTGTAGTTGAATACACACAAAAAGTGCAGTGGGTATAGCTGGAGGACAAGAGCCTCTCACCAGAGCACTCCAAAGACTCCCCACACCTTCCTTTCTGCCATCCCATATCCTCGTGTTGCAGGTGCACTTGCCTGGGTCCCTGCCCGTGATCCCAGGCACATGCCTGCTCCTGTCCTGTGTGTGTCCATGTTTGATTTAGACAAGTATGGGGAGGGAAGCAGGGAATTGGGGTAGGGAGCAGCAAGCAACAGACTGAGGGCAGAGATATTTTCCTTGTATGTTTGATGCTGTTGACATGGATGCATAGCAAACATCCCTGATAGTATTTCCGTGTTTGTTTAGCCAGGAATCAACAGCCATCCTGTCCTGCTGTGGACGTTATTGAAATGATCCTCAGGTGGTATTTCCAATTCTAACATCCTATTTCCTCTTACATTCCTTAAAAACAATTTTAATAGCAGTCAAGGCAGAGGACACATCAAATATGCAATAAAATGTTTTGAACAGCTCCTACCTGATAAAAATAAATGCAGGGAAAATATTGGTAGTGGGTCGTATGCACTGAGTACTTGCTGAAATTATGTTAAACTGCACTTCCAGCAAAACAATCTGCAAAAGACAGAAAGAATGATCTGTTATAGCAGGCATTCTGGACTCAAACACAATTCATTCAAGTATCACACCATATATATTTGTATTTTGATGTGATATTTATATAAAGCACATCATTATTTAACTATTCACTTGTATCTTCTGCTCAATTATTTCCCTACACTCTATGAAAACTAATTCTTCTTTGTCCATGCATCTGTTCAGCACCTCTATAAGTCACACCAATTTTGTTTGCATTTTTTGGACCTATTTTTCAAGGAGTACCTATACATTTCCTTCCTTCTTCTTCTGTTAAAAGAATCCCCCCCTGAAAATCTGTTGTGTGCCAGTATACTCTCTCCAACCTGCTCCTAAATTAAATAAAACTCAGTAATTACACTCCTTTGGTATGTTTTAATGAGTACTTCCTGCATCCATCTCAACTGGTTTTATTTTGCTTTCTCCCTCCTGCCAGCTGTGTTCACTTGTGAGCTCCTTGCTCAGGCTGCAGATGCACAGCGACAGCAGCTCGGGTCTGTGCCCTGTTGGCTGCCAGAGCCCAGGCAGAAAGGTGCAGCCTCCAAGTGCTCCAGCTGTGCAAATAGCAGATGACTGAGACACCGTTTTTCAGTGGAATCCCTCCTGATTAGACCTGACATAACATAATCTTTTACATGTTCTAGACTCTTAGAGGACTAACTTCCAGTTAGTTTTGTTTGTGTCCTGAAGATTTGAAGATTTGTACTGCTCAGGATCACATCAGCCTCTCTGTAGTGGTAGGTATAACATTTGCTGCCTTCTAGTCTAATAAAAAAAGACTATTTTCATAATAGCTTACATGTATTTTAGTGTCTATGTTATTTGATTTCCAAATTCCCTTGGAAAACTTGTCTGAAGACAAGTTAGTCTTAGAAGCTTGCCCCTGCTTAGCAGTTTGCTTAGACAGCTTCTCTGCCGGTGTCTTAATCTCTATTATTATTTTGATAATCTGTGCAAAAAAAATCTGGGAGATACATTTATACAGTATGAACTTATGCAGGAAAATGGTTCAGGTTCTTTATAACATGTATTTCTTAAGAATGCTATCTGTTCTGAGGTCTGCAAACTAGCTAGATATCTTGTAGACTATTTCCAACATTTAAACTTTAAAATTCTTATTTGTTTTTATACATTTATCTACTTCTTCTTCAAGTATTATTTAATCTTCCTTGTTTTTATTTGACATTTTATCTCTGTAGGTTAGGCCCCTCTTTAGTAGTGTTGTCAAAATCAGAGTTCTTATTGCTGAAAATTGTTTTAGTTGAGTATTCTCTTGTTTCTAACTAATAGTGTCTCTTGCTATTCTGTTTGATTTTTATTTAAAGGTGTATTTATTTTTCACTAGTTTCCATGCCAACTCATGGCTTTTAATTGTCTTATTTTTACTCCAATGAGGTTTTTTAGTAGCTGCATAACGTTATGAAAGCCTCTTAATAAAACGTCAACTTGTTCATGGCCTTCCTTTTAAGTTCTTCACAATAAGTGCTGGAGGCTGGATGCTGACTGATAGCTCTAGTAGTTTAAAAACACCTCAGATACCAAGGAAGTGCTGGATTCTGAGAGACAAATCAGGGCAAAGCATTGCCACCCACAACATGCAGCAGCAACATTTCTGAAAAATGTTTGATGGGCTTCAATTTCTCAACATCAAACAGGATTGCAATAACCACTAGGTAGGGAAAATCACCAGCATCTAAAAGATTCCCAATGTCACCAGAGCTGTGTAATTATCTCATTAGATTTCATTACCTCTGATCATATTTAATATTGTCAATTTGTGACAATTTTCTGAATGAGAGGCTCGTGATATGACAAAGAGAGATGGAAAACTTGTGTTTCTCTTCTTGTAATTTTCTGATCTCAGGGATTTTATCTCATGAGATGGTACAGACTTGTTCAGAAGTGTTGCTTCTTGCCTATTTCCATTTTAAACAGATATTCTGTATAAGTGATCAGCCTTGATGTATAAGGTTGTACAACCACCTTGTTTTTGGTAGCCATGGACTTTAATTTCTTCAGCATATATTTCCATTATCATGAATTTCCCATTTTTTAACTCAGCTCTGTTTGCCACCCCATCTTATGAAGCCATAAATAACTGATATCCTTTGAAAACCTTTTATGTACAAACCCTGTAAATTTCTTAGTTTTGTCTAGCAGTTATCCATGCTATCCTAAGTTCAATAAATATTTTACAGTTTGGGTAGTTTATTGTTACTGTGGCATTTTTAGGAAATGGTATTATCTATCAATTGCATACAGTTGGTCTTTTTTTCAAACAAGCTGTTATGTTTACATTTAGAGCCTCCTTCTTTTGACGTCTCTGCACATGGAACTACACCACTTTCTATGTCAAGAAAGTAACTAAAGTAAATTTACATTCAGTAAATAAAGTTAATTTTGAAGTATAAAGGGATTAACAGTAACTGAAGGGGAGAAAAGCTAATGTCAAGATGTCAAGTATCTAATTGGGCTTGTTTGGATCAAGGTAACAGACACAAAGGAGCCAGTCAGAGACAAAGAGAAAGGAAAATAATGAGGTCAAACTCTTCCTAGAAGTCTGCAAGTCTTTCTACATAGTCCTGTAGAAAGATGCAACATGAAAATAACATGACAGAAACAACTAAAGACCTTTTACTAAATTTTTCTATTATCTGAAGTTGTGTGGTTTTAAGGGCTTTTTCTTTATTTAATTTCAGTAGTCTGACTCTTCTTTATTTTTCATGACCTAATGCAAGAGGGACATTAGTCCGTGCAGTTAAAAAAAAGTGCATAAAATTCCAATGTGCACAAACTGAATACAAAGAGTATAAATAGAAAAGCACCTCTGTCATCAGGGACATAAGGATTCAGAAGCACACTATAATGCTGAATAAACAAGGCCAGAGGTTTCACATCTAGTCCAGCTCTTTCCAAAAGCTGTTGCTTTTCAAAGATAAAAAAGAAAGCTAATCTGTTGCCATCATCACAAGTTCTGCAGCAGTTAATGAGTTTAAATTAGATTTAAAAACAAGTCTGGTGCATGTACTCTTTGCTCTCTATATATTTTAACTCCTGTATTTAAGTGATAGAAAGCAGTAACTTTTACTTTAATTTGCAAATATTGTTTCTCAAAATGTATTTTAGCCTGTGAAAGATTTCCAGCATGTAGTGTGAATATCATAATTTACCATTTACTGTATACCAGAATTGCTATTTAATATCTACAGCATGATGTTGATACCAGGATGGGATGATCCTGTTTTTCATCTGAGGTGTGCAAACAAGCATCAATCAGCTCCATCATTTGGATATACCTTTTTATACTTTTTTAAAATTTACTTTGTGCATCTCAAAGATTGACTGACATAAACAGATTGAACAGTTTGAATTCTGTTTTCTTCTCCTAAACGTTTATCTTGTCTTATGGACTTTTGTTTGGCAGCATAACTCTGAAAGAAAAAACTTCTGTTTATGTTAGAAGAGGCCCTTTGAAGAACTACATGGGGAACATCCTCATCTGTAGCAACTTTATCAGACTTATCTGTGTTGAGGGTTCTTTCATCTTCGTTTGTGGAACATTCAGTCTTGAGTGTTCCTCATAAAGCAATAAATGTCTCCTGCTTTCAGTATGTCTTGTATTGACCTGCTTGTTGTACTTCTTAGAGAGTTACTTTAGATTTGTTTGTTACACTTTAACTAATTTATAACTGTAAGTTTTGTGTGATGGGTACAGTAATAGCAACTTTATAGTGTGTTTTTCTGCTGTCCTGAAAGTGTGAGATAAGACACGTATGTACCTGTAATAGACAAATTTAATTTTTATTCACAGATTTCCTCAAATGATGGGATTCCTGATACCCAGTAAAAACTGAGCTCATTTTCAATGTGGATGGAATAGGTTTGTGGAGCAGTTTCTTACTTGATTGTGTGAAATTCTCATTGAATTCTACAGGGAATATAATCAGGATATTATACTACACATAGACTAAATTTAAAGCTTAGAGAAAAGCATTAATTAGTTTTAAGATCCCACATGACTTTCCTGTAGGAATAGAGATCTGAGTGCTCCTGTGTTTTTTTGATAACTTTTATTTACATCAGCTCACACAGAGCCACATGCACAGCTTAGAAGACCCAGATAAGAAGTTGCCAGGAACTCCTCCTCCAGCATGTGTCCTCTTTTTATACCCAGTAATCTTTCATCAGCTTTTTACACATGCACCTTTTGCACGTTTCTTCCCTCACACTCTCTCCCCCTGATACTTGCATTTTCATTTTCCCTCCTTCATTTTTCTTTTTTAAAACATTTCTTTTCCTCTCCTTTCCCTGCAACCTCTGCATTGTCTTCTCATCTCAGGAGGACAAAGAATCAAGTTGCTTTCTCACCTGGTTTGTTTTTGTCATCTGTTTTTCTGGCTCTCCACAAGAGGAAGAAAGGGAGCTGCTGGTTTGGTAATTGCTGTCCACTGGAACCAGTAAAGCACAGTCTGCTGATACCTGGTGCAAGTAACAGCCTGGAGAGGAAACAAGCTCTAGTGGCTGGTGACAGCATGGAACCTATTGCTTTTTGTTTGCACACATGTTTTAAATAAACTGCTCTTCACAGCACCCAAAGATTCATACCCCCTTGCTAAATCCCAGATGGGGGATACCTTCCTTCTTTTCTCAGCACCGACCAGGTTCTTAGGCCACAAAAGACCTTTGGATGCCTGCATTTCTAGGTGCTTCACCTAAGACATTTTAAGAAAGAATTGATCTTTGAGAAGATGCTGCTCAGGTCATTGAACTGCTGGTTGTACACTGGTTGCACATTGGTTGTAGTAGTGCACCCCAAATTTGAAGGGTAACATCACTGATCATTTTTGCACACACGAAGAGAAAACCTGCAGCTTGCTAGCAGTTACTGCAGAGGCAAACAGAGAAGGATCCGAATTACACTCGTGGCTCCTTGTAGGTCATTTACCTTTTGCCTTAGCTGAGAGAAAAAACAAACATGCAAACCATTCTAGCCCTTTTATAGGTAACCTTGTTCTTCACTTAGAAAACTGAACGCTGTACATTGTAGATTTCTACGTATAAATTTACTTGTATCCTTTGTTCTGGTTTTCTGTTGGAGCTCACTTCTCCTTTTCCCAAGCCATTCTTGGGAATCAGCCTTCTGCACAGAGCTCATATGAACTTTCAGTATTTTCCAGGAGTCACCTGAACATTTCCTAACTCAAGATCATCATAGCTCCAGGCAAGCTGGCATGAAGACTTCACCATCTGATAAAAATCCAGTGAACATATGGCTTCAGGACAGCAATAGAAAAGAAGTTTTCTGAGAGTTGAGTTCAACAGCTATATATATTAGAACTGTTATAATTTCATTAAATAATTTTGTGCTCAGTCTGAATTTTCTGTATTCTTGTGTTTTTCTTCAAAATCTCACACTCAGGGCAGTGGGTAACCAACACTATCTGGCTTTTTATGCTCTGTGACACAACAACAGCTAGTTCTGTTTGCTGCAAACATACATTAAAGAAACCAGCAACATTTTATAACATTTTTGTACAACTGTGAAATAAATAAAAGTATTGTGTTTTATTTATGAGTGCTGATGTAATACAATATCCCCTTAAAAAAACAAGAAACATGTAATTTCATTCTCTACCATGTGAATTTAATTAGCAATTAATTAATAGTGCAGATGTGAATACACAGTGATGAACCAACTGTGGAATTTGAGATAAATGTCAGCTGGAGTTCATAATGTATTATGTGGGCTTAGTTCTGCATAATTTCATTAGGAACAAAATAAGGTGGAAAGCTTTATCCTAAATAATAAATAAATAAATAAATAAATAAAATTATATCTATTTTCATATAGTCCTCTCAAAACCATTTGTGGAAACATCATGTCTAACAATATTCCCTGAAGAGAGACACTCAACATAGGTAGGAAAGTGATGTTCATTTTGTTAGATAACAGAATTGCACGACCTGGTTGTTTGCACCTAAACCCTCACAGAGTCCTGCAGGAACTGACAAGGGCTGGTAAGAGCTGATGCTGATCCTAACTTCTTATGCCACATTTCTTCTTCACTGAGCATTCCAGTGCACCAGCTTTTCAGCTCTCCAGTCTGAAGCAGCAAAGGATTGACTCTAGGGTCACTGCAATCCTAAATAACAAACCCCCAGAACAAAAATACAAAGGGTAAATGTTTGCTGCTCTTTATTCACTTTATACAAGGTAAGATCAGTCTGCAATATCAGTCTGAAATTCTTGGGTCCCTGCTGGAAAATGCCAGGAAGGGTGTTTTTTGCTGATTTTTCAACAGGATCTAGTACTATAGTAGCCCATGATGCAGATCTTTCTTACTTCCAGATAAAGAAATCTAGATGAAGATTCTTGTCTTACAGCTCAATTAAAAAAAAAAAAAAA